GCAGTGCGCGACGCTGCTCCGGGAGCCCCGGGCCTTCTCGGCGGCCGCTCTGCCGACGCTGCGTTGCCGTTTCCTTTGTTTGTCGTTCCCCGTCTTGCTGGGGTGTGTAAATAAAGGCGGCTCTGCGGCCGTGCCCCCCTGCGCCCAGCGGACCTGGCCTCTGCCCTGCTGCTGGACCCGGAACGGCTCAGGGCTTTAACCCCGGGGCCGCCGGGCATCGAGCCCTTGGTTCAGTCTGGATGTGCCCTCGCTGTACACGGACCGTTTAAAGGTGCCTCTGGCGCCGATGCTCACAGAAAGCCCCTCTTCCTGACGCTGCGTGCAGGCAGATTTTTCTGGATGTTTCTCTTTTAATGCCTGCTTCTCCGGAGATCCTTGGGGTACTTTTAGAAGGGGTTTTGAGCGCCGGGACCTCTTCTGCTTTTCGACAGCGCCCGTCAGCGCTCCAGGGCCTCCCCGGATCCGAAAAGCGGGGTGGCTGTCGGCAGCTCGGGGAGACGGGCTGTGAGCAGAGCCCCGGGGCTGCGAGCGCGGCGCGGGCGGCGAGGCTGCGGCGCTCGCTGGAGCTGGAATTCGGCCAGTCGGTAAATACTTCTGCAGGGGTTTAAGAGCACAAGCAAAGCTGGACGCGCCATCTGTATCTCTTCGGAGAAACTGGATGCTACGTGGAGGGGAAAAAAGCAAGTTGTGTTTGTTTCTCCGGGGAATATTGTGCGCTGTTCCCTGGTGGTGCAAACCCACCAGCGCTAAATAAAAGAGGCTCTGTTTGGAAACCTGCAATGAAGGAGAGACCCTAGGTGGAATGTTGTAATTATGAGTGGTATGTACTTGTTTAAGTTTCGTAAATCAGCTGCTTTCCTGAGGATTTAATTGCAGGCTGCAGCGAGCAGCTGCTGTTGTGGTTCATGGGGAGCTCCACCACAGAACGCTTTGAAGGTTGTCCAGCGTGGGCTTGGACGCTTCGGCGGGCTTGGCTTCGAGGGCAGCGTGCTGGTGAAAAAGGGCAGTTTTTGGCACGTGTGGGAGGCGTCTTTGGAAGGAAAACACCACGAGGCTGCAATCAAAACTTTGCTAATCAAAACACAAGGGAGCTCGCCGGCCGGGGCGCACGTCGGTGCGTGGTAGCTGGCCCACGGCGCCCCGAGACGAGCTGGCGTGTGTGGTTGAGCCGTGGGCTGAATTTAGATAGTCCAGCTTTTAATTTGCAAGTGCGGCAAGAGCCCCAGCTGCGGGCAGCGCGGGTGCAGGCCAGCTCCTCCGAGGACCCTTGCCTAGTCTCTGCCTGGTTTCGGCCTTTTTGCCATAACAACAGTTTTTCTCCCTCCACGTTCTGCGTTGACCTTGTTGGTTTTCCCCCTCCATTGCGCGTCAGGTTCTTGCATTAAGTCTCCGTGTGGCCCTGAGTTGGGTGTCGGGGACCCACCGACGGCTGTACGGTGCTTTATGGGACTCTGGAGAACCTGACTTTCAGGTCAATCCGATTCACCCGTTCGGATCAATTACAGCGAGCGATAAAAATACCCGAGGAGCCGCGGCGCTTCTCGTAACTGGCGTTGCACTCTCACCACGTGCTCGCCCGCTGTTTGTGGTTGGTGGCTTTCTTCTTGCATTTAAAGCCCTCGACTGGATTGTACCAGGAACTTTTCGTTGGCCTGCACAACTAGTTATTTGAAACCACCGATGTCCCTTCGCAGGGTTGGGCCAGCGTGCTATTTTTACCCAGCGGTTTGGATTTAATTGATTACGTTCTTCTGCGGTTTAAAAACTTGAGTATTAAAAGCATTTTAACCTTACTGAATTCTCAAGGTGAATCTATTCTAAGACTCGCGACCCCGCGAAGATGCCAGTATGAAGGATCAAAGTGATACTTAAGCCCATCTCTCTGCTCAGAGATACAAAACTTTGGCGGGCTGTTGCTTAATTGAAAATTATCTTTAGCCTTGGTATTTTTTTTTTTGGGGGGGGGGGGGTATTTTGTTTGTCGCTGGAAACGCTGGCAGCCTCTGCGTGTTGTCCCTTTGCTGATAGTCGCACGTGTGGCTGCTGCGTTCTGGCAGCTTCGTGATGGGTTTGACTCTGCTTTCTCCTCCTGCGGCAGCGCTGCCCGTTTTTGTGGGTGCTGCCTGAACGGTGAAGTCCATCTCTCCCCCTCCCCTCTTCTTAGTGGCAGCACCAGTCAGGAGCGAATACTGAAGGGAAAACAGGCTCTGAGCAGAACGCGAGGGCAGGTGCTTTGTGAGGCCCAGGTGTACGTTTGGCAGGGGGAAACGTCACTTATGTTAGGAACTCCCTCTCTGTGCCGAGGCCGGCTGTGAAGGTTGCCCTGAGCGGTTCCGTTACCGGGTTCTTCGGCAGGACGGCAGGGCCGTGGCGCTCCCGCGGCGTTTTCTGGAGTCCCGGGCGAAGCAGCGGAGGCGGTGGGGATGCTGATCTCCCGGCGGGGCGGGCGACGTGCCAGTGATGCTGTCGGAGCTGGGGGTGCTTGCGGGGCTGGTGTTGCCTCCTAAAGCTGCACTTAGGCTTAAGCAGTGTTGGGTATATGAAACCTTGGGTTCAGGTTACGGCTGGGAATGAACCTCTGTGATCTCGTTGTGTCCCTTTTTAGCAGCGTTAGTAAGCGCGTGAATCTGATCTATAAGCTCGGCAGAGGTCTGCCTCCAGAGCGGGAATGTCGCTGTGTTCCCCGAGCCCTCGGCGCTCGCTGGGCCGGACTCTGCGGCGCTGCTCCTCCTTTCACAGAGAGTCGCTCCCGCGCCAGTCCAACGCCCGGTGACTCAGGAGCTCAGACCCGAGCTCCCTCAAAATCTGATGCAGAAGGACACCGTTTTGTCAGGGTGGTAACGCTGTTTATAGAGACAAACTTGCCATGGGCAGCGTGAGGCCAAATCGGGGCTTGGCCAGCTCCAGCAAGAGAGGCCGGGGGGGGCTGTTGCTGCAGGCGGCGGCTGCCAGGGGCCTCGGTACCCCCAGCCTGTGGGACACCTCGGTGACATCTCTGCCTGGGAGGCGGCTGCATCCCAGAGCCCTCACCCGCGTGATTCCAGCATCCCGCCGAGCGTCAGCGTGACGGGGAAGAAGGAAATACGAAGCAGCAAAGCGGCGTTCCCCTCCCTCCCTCCCCGGCTCCCCCCGTGCAGTAACAGAAATACGAGTCTGACTCTACAGCATCAAAAGAGAGATCAGAGTAATCGGATCAAGCATGAGAAACTGCTTGTTGCCATTTTTCTGTTTTTAAATGAGGCTGCCTGGCAGCTTCCATCACAGAACGCTTTCAGATATTAGTGATGTTAAGCTGTGGAGCTGGGGTTACAGCAAAGTAGGGCTCTGATGAAAGTGGGCTAGAGAGAGAACTTCTTTTGTGCAGCCCGAGCGTTACATGTCGCCTCTGGGCTGACAGGCTGCAGCAAATACCCTCCCAGCCCTTCGCTTGTGTCCAAGAGGAGGCACGTCCGTCCCCAACCCGCTGCGGAGAGAGCGCGCTCGCTGGGGGCGTTTCGTGGGGGCTCTGACACCTCCCAGGGATGTGGCCCGGGACATCTGTGACCTGGAGGAAGCATGGTGGCTGTCCGGGCAACCCTGCCCCCCCCGCTGCCCTCCGGGGCAACGGCCGCCCTCGGTGCGTTGGACGTGTCAGCGGGCGGCTGGGTCGGACCCGGGGAGAGCCGCTGCCTCGGGTTCAGGGCTCGGCCGCGAGGGCTCCTCCTCCTCACACAGGGCTGTCTCCGCCCCGGGAGGCATCGGAACAGGCACTTCCCCATGCGGCTGCCAAGCTGCAGGGCCTTTGGCTCCCCACTTGTGTTTGCTCAGGCATTCTGCGTGGATTGGACCAATTGGTCGAGGTTCGGGGAGGAACGGCAGCGCTTGTTTTCCTCGCTTTGCTGAACTTCTTGGTGGATGCTGCAGATAAATTGTTTTCCTTCCAGGAGCGCGGCTCTACAAGACCCTCGTCGGGTCTTTCACAGTGCTGCTTCGCGTTGGGGTTCCTGTTGTGCCATGGACCATCCGCTGGGGCGGTGAGGCTGCCCTGGGACGGCCCCAAGTCGCTTGAGCGTACGGGACAAACACGGAGACCCTGTATCGCTCCATGGAGTTGGGTTACGAGGTCGGGCAGCTAATTCTGACCAGTTTCCTTGGGACGAAGACCTGAAATAGTCACATTTAGAGAGGTGTTGCTGTAGCTTGGTTGGGTCTGGATTCACGTTCTAAGCTATTTTGTGGGAAAACGTGATTTGAGCGACCATGGACATGGGTCATGCTATTAGAAGCCCAGTAGAAGCAGGGCAGCTCCTAAGAGTTCCCCCCCCCAGCTTTCCCTGGTCTATATAAACTCAGATGCTCTTTTCAGCCAGCTTGAGGCAAGGCAGCGCCACATGAGCTCTTTTTAACGAGAGAGTGTGCTGCGTTGTTGTAGGTGTCAGCAGCTCGTTCAGAGCATTCGTGCCTAGATCGCTTTTCCTGCCTGGCTCGGGATGAGGCTCCTCGATGACTTGGTAACGTCGCTTGGCGCTGAGATCCCCAGCGGTGCCGGGGTTTTGGTTATCGTTGCCTGCTGACAGCCTGACTGGGCTCCGTGGCGTTGGGTGGAAAGCCGGTTGACAAACATCAAAGCGGTGAAGGCTTGTCATCGAGTCATCTTTGTTGAACGGGGCGTCTGGAGGGTGGGTTGGGTTCCTGCGGGCTGTTGGGAGCCAGCCTGCTTTTCCAGGACGGCTGCCGCAGGACGAAACAAAGCGAAGCCCCTGCTTGCTGTGTGAGGCGCTTTCTCGGTGTCGGGGAGAATCTAGGTCAGCTTGACAGCGACTCCAGTCCTCTAGGCAGATCAATTTTTTTGCCACCCTCATTTTTTATCATGCTGTGCCGAGTCCAGAGAAACCACGCGCAGTTCCTTAGCGCACCCCGACCGACGGGGGCTCGAATTAAGTGGGTGTGTGGGAGCGCTGGGGTTTGCGGTTGAGCAGTGGGTATAGTTTGGCTGTAATAAGGTGCCCTGCTGAGCCATCTGGCATTTCCAGAGCTCTTGGGCAAACTAATCCCCTGCACGTCACTCCTCCTGGCCACGGGCAGTGGAGTGGGAGGGGGTGCCCGTCCTTGGTGGTGGAGGCGGAAGCGGAGCTGCTGCCCCGTCCCCCGTAGGCGCTTCCAGCTTCTTGTCCATAGTCGCTGCTGGAGCGTGGGGGCACGGAAGGATTCTTCTGCACGTGTAAAACCAAAATTATCTCTCCTTTGTCGCTTCTGACCTTCATTTCCGAGGCGTTTCCTGACTCCTGGCACTGAAGGGCTGCGCTGTGTCATTGGCAGAGTGTATCTGCACGGCTGCTGCTTTGGGCCGTATTGCGGTTCAGGACCATTTTTCCTCCTCCTCAGCTCAGCTTCTGCTCGGGAAGTGGCTCCAAAAGAGACGTTACTCATTGACCTGGTAGGCAGAACTGCTGGAAGCGACTCCCACACTGAGGTTTTGAGCTCTGTCCACATTAACAGCTTCTCGTTCGATTTAAAGGTCTTATACTCTTAATCGTTCCATATAATCTTTGAGAGAACGTCCACATTTAATCAACTCTCCCCGAATCCGTGACTGCCAGGTAGTGCTGCTTCAGCATGTGAAGCGCAGTCGCGTCTTTTTGCGGTAAGAGCGCGGATTAAAGCGGGATAGATAGGGGATTAACACTGTTCCCTTTGGACATCTTCAGGGAAGGGGGGAGGAACTTGTAGACCAGAAATAAAGAAAATACTTGGAGGCAAATCATTTATGGCTAGGTAGGAATATATAGAGCCTTGCAAGCAGAGGGTTTATAGCAAAACCAACGATGTAGCTCTTAAATC